TTTATTGATTGATTGATTTTAAACTAAATTAAATCCGACTTTCTCCAGTAGAAAGACACAATACTGTGAAAAATGGCCGAAAATTAAAATTTCCCAGGAGGGCAGATCATTTAGTCTTCATCTGTACCTGAAATCACTTTTGTCCATTTCATACAGTATGATGCAGACACCAAAATGAGACTTTGAGACATTTTCAGGATGAATGTTTACAAAATATACACACCAATGCAAAACCACCAGTGCTTTAATACACACAACAGCCTTTTCAAAATGACAGATCATCTTCCTCCAGACTGCACAGAAGAGATTCACTCTTGACTGAGCTTTTAATAAATTACAAAAGGCTCAATTTGATGCTTTTAAAAGGACGGTTCACCCAAAAATACCAATTCAGTCCTCAGTTATTAATCCTGCAGTTGTTTTAAATCGGTTTGGGTTGTTCTGTTCAACACAAATGAAGATATTCTGAAGATTGCTGGAAAAACAGACATTGACTTCTGAAGTGTTTTTGTTTCTACTACTGATGTTAATTCTTCCAGCACTCTTCAAAATATCTTGTTTTGTAGAAAAACTAAATTTAAAAAGACATGAGTGTGGGTAAATGATGAGAAAATGTGTTTTAAAGGAGAGCTATTCATGCAGAAATCACTTCTATACATGGTGTAAACCCAGTTGTGTGTGTGTGTGTGTGTGTGTGTGTGTGTCAGCAGTGTGTGAATCTCTCCAGCAGCTTCTAATAGTCAACATGACTGAATTGTGTTTGTCTTAATCAGACTTGATGAATGAAACACTTTGATTGACATTCTCCCTCTGTAAGCCCCGCCCACTAGTGTCCATCTCTCCATCTCATTAGCATGTCCAGCAGCCCTGAGTGAGAAGCAGCCGTCTGTCCATTAGCCATTAGAGTGTTTGAGCTGCTGAAGATGATGTCAGCATAGACTAATGCCGAGTTCAGACTGGAGGATTTCGAAAGTATTCGTGTCACAGATGTTTTCACACTGCATGACTATCTGGGCTAGCGTTTCGTCACTGCTTTGTTTACACTGCAAGATGGATCGTTGACAGGGGCTTTCACACTGCATGACTTTACAATAGGAAGCATCCCCGACAACTTTGTCTAAACTACGTCTCACAACCAAACACATGTAGTATATCTTTTGTTATTAACTTCATAATAATATGTGCTCACCTGGGTTTGAAGGGAATCAACAATTCCCTTCAAAACAAAACACGGTTGTGATATTGCTCAGATGACACGTCAAACAGACGCAGTGCTCCTGCCAAGTTTACTCTAGTTTTTCCTCCAGTTGTTGGGTCAAAATAAACTGAAATGAGCGCTTCTAACTTTTCCCTCAGCGTCCTGCTGGCCTCCAGATACACACACATGCTACTCTCTCAATGGCTGTAGGCGATCGCTGAAGTTATTTTCAGTCAAAACTCATTTCCAGTGTTGGGCAAGCTACTTGAAAAATGTAGTGAGCTAAGCTATGAGCTACTCTACGTAAAATGTAGCTTAACTACACTAAAAGCTACCCACTGGGAAATGTAGCAAGCTAAGCTAAAAGCTATATGGCAAAAGTAGCTTAGCTACATCTAAGCTTTTTATTTTATTTATTTTTTTATTATTCTTTTTTTATTATTATTCTTTTTTTTATTTTATTTTTTTACAATTTTTAGTTTTAAATCAACTTAAATCCAAGTCAATAGGTGATCAATAAAACTGTCATTGAAACATATGAGGCAGGATGGTTCAGTTCAATGGTTCAGTTCAGTCCAATTACTGTAAATAATATGCTGTTCTAAACAGAAACACATGATGGTATATAACAGCTAAAACAAAAAATCCAATAATTACAGGTGCTACACGTTTAAAATACTCTAATTTATAGTAAAGGGAAATATTTTAGAATAAGCATTATATTTTATGTATGCATGTGTATTTATACATCTATCTATCTATATATATATATATATATATATATATATATATATATATATGATGAATATATGAAAATATGAATATGAATATATATATATATATATAGCACAGCATCAGAAATGAAGTTATTGCATCTTCACATGTACTTCTGGAGGTATGGTCACGAGGAGTCCTGCTTCAGAAATAACTCCTCTCCCTCAGTCATCTTTCCATCAAGCAAGATTCGGTTGGCGACTTCGACAACCAGAGGTGGCAGTAACGCACCAAAAACTTTGTTGTTGAACATCGTAAAGCAAGTAGAAGACAAAACCATATGGGTTTACTTTCATCGGCTAGACACCGGCCTCACAGCTCCGTGAAAGTCTGTGTGGTCACTTATTGATCTGCGACCGGTAGCTTGTGTGGACGCTACTGCGCTACTTGACTAATAAAACAGCTTAGCTACTGAAAAGCTATTTAATTTAAAAAGGAGCGATGCTACCGCCACGCTACGGAGAAATGTAGTTAAGCTAGTAGCGTCACTACTTGTAGCATCGCTACTGCCCAACACTGCTCATTTCACACGGCATGATTTGAATCGCCGACAGCTCAAGATATTCAGCGATTCTCTCAGATGGCGTCTTTGATTGTTCACACTGTGTGATTGTCACTCATGAGCACCGATTTTCCTGTGATTTCAGGCATTTGTCTGCGATTTCTCTAAACCTTTTCGGCAAATTAAAATCAGGGCTAAAATCCTGCAGTCTAAACTCATCGTAAGAGGATTATAGATGTGTAGTTTTAGATGAACAGCAACAGGAGTCTCTATAGACTGACAGAAGCATCAAGCACACACTCACACCTGACCAGCACTGACAACACACACACTGCTGTTTCACATCTGTGACGCACAGGCGTCTGTAGCTCCGCCCTCTTCTGAAAAGAGCACAATCTCATTTGCATTTAAAGCGACAGTCCCCAAAACACCACAATTAGGATCAAAGCCTGACAGGGTCAGTTTCAGAGAGCTGGAGAACATTATCTGTGTGCTGTTCCCAGCTCAAACGGAAACACAAACTCATCAGAGATGCGTTTTACAGAATAGGTCTCACTTATGGGTTAGTTCACCCAAAAATGTAAGTCCTGTCATTAATCACTCTCCCTCATGTCATTTAAATCCTCAAGCCCATCATTCATCTTCCAAACACTAATGAAGAGATTTAGGCTGAAATCTGAGAGCTCCCTCATCCTCCATAGGACAAAAATACCTCTAAACAGTTCCTGCTGAATGTCTTCAGTCAATAATTTATAATATTATCAAGCTATGAGAATACTTTTGTACGCTGTTATGAACCTGGTCCAGCGGGTCAAGTAAATAACGTAAACATAACTGAACACGTTTTTTTTAGAAAGCCCTTAGAGTTGGGTTTGTTTATTAATCTCTTTTTTTCCTTTCTTTGTTTAAAACAAAAATTCAAGTAAACCGAAGCCTTTATCTTTACTCTGAACTGTCCTCTAATGAAACTCCAAATTCAACCTAAATAATAATAAAAAACAGAAATAAAAACACAATTCTTACCTAACTCCAGCTATATAGAAAATGATGAGAGAAAAGTATACGCAAAAAGTGTGGTGTTCGACCCTTCCTGCTTCAACACTGGGAGTATTTACAATATGTGCAGTATTTACAACTCAACAAACACAAGGGGGAAATACACGGGGTGTTCATTTTTGTGTGCGCTGCCCCTTTAAAGAGAATCTTCATTTTTTCGTGTCCTGTCCCTTTAAACAGAGGATCTACATTTTTGCATCTACTGTCCCTTTACTAACAGAATATTGATTTTTGTGTGTGAATTTTCCCATTAAACACAGAATCCTCATTTTTGCATGTACTGTCTCTTTAATGACAGAATCAGCATTTTTGCATGGACTGTCCCTTTAAACACAAAATCTACATTTGTGTGTCCATTAAAAAACAGAGTCTCCATATTAGTGTGAACTATTCCTCTAAAAATAATCTTAATTTTTGCATAAACTTAGAATCTATATTTTTGCGTCTCTTCAAACAGGGTATATCCGCAGGGTCTTAAAAAGTCTTAAATCAACAGAAATACTTTGTCTTCAATCTGTTCTCAACAGGTCCTAATTTTCCTTTGTTCATGTACAGCTACCCAATCTGGGGTGCATTTCTGAAAACCATCATTAGCCAACTAAGGTCGCAAGTTCCGTCATTACAAACATAGTTCTACCTACTGCGCCACTGCCTCGCCCAAGACGCAGAACATTAGTCATTTTTTATTATTTTTTTTTTGTAGTACAATTAGTGGTATATCCACAGAGGCAATTGCAGATAAGGAAGTGAAGTGGAGACTAAATAGTTGAGTTTTTAGTGGTTTCTTGAAGACCGCGAGTGACTCTGCTGTTCTGATGCAGTTAGGGAGTTCATTCCACCAACTGGGCAGATTGAGAGCGAGAGTTCGGGAAAGTGATTCCTTCCCTCTTTGGGATGGAGCCATGAGGTGACGTTCATTCACAGAACGCAAGTTTCTGGAGGGCACATACATCTGCAGAAGTGAGAGCAGATAAGAAGGAGCAAAGCCAGAAGTCACTTTGTAGGCAAACATCAGAGCTTTGAATTTGATGCGAGCAGCAACTGGCAGCCAGTGCAAATGGATGAGCAGCGGAGTGACATGTGCTCTATTAGGTTCATTTAAGACCACTCGTGCTGCTGCGTTCTGAAGAGTTAGCTGGAAGCCCGGCTAGTAGAGAGTTGCAATAGTCCAGTCTGGAGAGAACAAGAGCTTGAACAAGGAGTTGAGCTGCATGTTCAGATGTGATAGTGTGATAGAGTGAGAATCTGCAATATCGAGCAGTTTTGTGGCAGGAATAACACACGCGGCTTTCTGACACTACCTACCTAAGTTACTGAGAAATTCAGAGGGTTGTTTTCTCTCATTCGCCGTGTGGTATCAAACATTGCATGAAAAACACACGCTTCCAGCAGTTCCTCGATTCAAATATCTCGTTTGTCACGAGGGCCATGAATGAAATTCCTGAATAAAAGAGCCAAACTGCAGTTAAACTCCACCATTTAATCATTTGTCTAATAATTTGATTACTGATGTCTATGTAAAACACAGTCACTGTCTTTCTCCCCTGCATCTGTGTGTTTGTTTTGCCTCTGTGAAAATCAGCGCATGCCCAAACCAACACTCCCATTTTTATGCTAATTTTTAGAGCCTTTCTCACTTTCCCTCCTCCGACACTCCCCTCTAAACAGAGCTGGACACGCCCACTTTCCTGACTTTTTCTAAAGTAGAGGTGTGAAAAAACAGGGGGGTTTTATGGCCCTTCAACATCTCTCTATTTATTTACTGCTGAGGATACTGACCTGACCTACATATATATTTTTTGTATTATTCAATTATTATTGTGTATTATTAAATGGTAAATTATAATCATTTTGTGATAGGGAAAATAAAAATCTTTTCCAACTGGGACTTTCAAAAAAGTACTAAGCATTTAGCCCTGTATAAGTCTAAAACTTCATTCATAATGATCTTAAAAAGGACTTAAAGTCTTAAATTTAACTTGGTGAAACCTGCAGAAACCCTGTTAAAACCAGACTCATCATTATTGTGTGTGCTGTTCTACATTTTTGGGTGAACTGTCCTTTTTTGCGCGTACTGTCCCTTTAAGAACAGAATCTGTATTTCTGCATGTCCTGTCTATTTAAACATGTGTGAACTATGCCTTTAAACACAGAAGCTTCACATTAGCGTGTCCTGTCTCTTTAAACACCTCGAGCGACTGCCTCTAGCTGCTGGTGTAGAAGGCGTAGTAGCCGATGGCTTTGGCTGCAGATGGAGAGTCTTTGTGAAAGTTCTGCTCTTCAGTCTTGCCAGGGGGAGCGTCTCCTGAGAGCCGGCGTCTCTTACTGCACACCACTGAGTAAATGCTGGGCTCTGCGGCATCTGACGGCTTCTCCATCCAGCAGAACGGGCTGTTCTCCTCTCTGGCTTTCTCCGGATCCTCACTGAAGTCTGTGGGACTGGGCCGGGGAGACCAGGGCAGGCCGGAGGGTAGTTTTCTGGGGAACGAGGAGCCGGCGGAGACTCTGGTCCCCCAGCTGAAGGCAGTGTCGGGATAGTAGCTCTGCAGAGGGAGAGACTTGAAGCTGTAGGGCAGCAGAGAGCTGGAGTACTCGCCCTCGTACGCCGTCAGCTCCAGTTTACTGCTGTTCTGTGAGATCAGCCAGCGCTGGGCCGGGTCCTCCACGCTGCTGGGCTGGGTCACTGAGCGCTGGGTCAAACTGCTGAACTGCTCCTGCAGGAACGGCTGGACGGCGTATCGAGCGTTCGGGACCATCTGCTGTGCTCGGGGGGAGTCTGCAGGCGACGGCGTCAGGCGCTCTCGGTCTGGGAGGGTGTACATGCTGAAATGCACACAAACACACACAAATACTGGACACTTGAAAACAAATGTAGAGCAGTGCATGATTTCATTCTACTGGAGCCAATTCTAATGTTAAAAGACAAGACCTGATAAAATAAAATAAGATTGCAAGCTCCTCCCTAAAGGACTGATAGACCACGCCCTAATGTGCTGATATCTCCACCCTAAATGACTGATCAACTTACGAAATTGAAAGACGAGCAATGCAAACAAAATAAAGGAAGATTGACAGATGGAGGAATTCAGAGCAGAAATGTGACACCCACTGATAGCCCCACCCTTAATAACTGATAGACGCCCTGAAGGATTGAAAACTCCGCCCTAAAACACTGATATCCCCACCCTAAAGAGCTGATAGCTCCGCCCTAAATAACTGACAGCCTGGCACTAAAGAACTGATAGCCCCACCCTAAAGAACTGATAGCCCCACCCTAAAGAACTGATAACACCACCCTAAAGAACTGATAGCCCCACCCTAAAGAACTGATAACTCCGCCCTAAAGAACTGATAGCCCCGCCCTAAAGAACTGATAACTCCACCCTAAAGAACTGATAGCCCCGCCCTAAAGAACTGATAACTCCACCCTAAAGAACTGATAACACCACCCTAAAGAACTGATAACTCCGCCCTAAAGAACTGATAGCCCCGCCCTAAAGAACTGATAGCCCCGCCCTAAAGAACTGATAACCCACCCTAAAGAACTGATAACTCCAACCTGAAGAACCGATAGCACCGCCCTAAAGAACTCATAACTCCACCCTGAAGAACTGATAACTCCACCCTAAAGAACTGATAACAAAACCCTAAAGAACTGATAACTCCACCCAGAAGAATTGATAGCCCCGCCCTAAAGGACTGATAACTCCGCCCTTAATAGCTGATAGGCCGTGACAGAATGAAGACTCAAAGGTTTTCTGTCTTTAAGTCAGTTGAATGTATTTCAGGTTAAAGTGACTCCGTATAAGTGTTGGGTCAAATATGGAGAAAGCCAACCATTGGGTCACAACATGTGATTTAAACTGAATTGAAAAGCTTTAATGTTGAGAGTCTGTATCTGACAGCGTTTAATGTCATTGAAGTACTCGACTGTAAGGCAGTCAGGATTGCTTCTACAGTGTAAAAGTTTAGTTAATCCCCCAAAGAACACTCTCGTCATCATCAGCTCCTTTAGTGCAGTACAGCATTATTAAAGCTCGTTTATGTGGTAAAACCAGAGCAACGCACACCAGATGAATATACTCACGAATCATAATTATCTCTGAAGCCTTTAGCGAACGGGTTGTGGTCGATCTTGAGCTGAGTGATCTGGAAGAAGAAGAAGAACAGAAAAACTCAGTGTTTTCATCTTGATCATCTGGGAAACTCCTCCTGAGAGTGCATGTGGATATCGCTCCTCTGTGTTTAGGGCAGTCGTTGTGCTGTGAACTCTTCAACACTGGCAAACATTTCTACAAGTAGATCTTCGTTATTTACAGTCATCCTGCTTGGTGTGAGCGGGCCTTTGCTATGGAGTGAAATCTGTGCCGATATTTCACAAACAAATCCGCTATTTTTAATGCAAACAAACACGATCTCATTGCAAAGAATCACTTGAGTCACAAACAAGCAGAAAGCACCTTGCCAAAACTAATGCAGTGAGCAAAAACCCAGCGGCGTGCTGTTTCAGAGTAACATGAGTTGACCCATAGCGCCATCTGCTGTCTAATTGTAGGAGATGACCCAAGCACTTTGTGGAAAAAACAGAACAAGATGCAGGTACAGCTGAAGCCAGAGTTATTCTCCCTCCTCAATACATTTCTAATCATAACAGTGTTAATAACTTTAATACCAAACTCATCTCTAATAACTGATTTATTTTCTGTTTGTCATGATGACAGTAAATTATATTAGACTTGATCCACTATTATTGCTTAAATTATTATTATTAGCTTAAAGCGACATGTAAAGGCTTCACTAGGGTTATTCCTCAAACTGACATTTGTTTTTGCTGTTGGTTTGCGGGCCGAGTGATTCTTTGCTAAGCAAAGATTGCAAAATGCAGAGGAAAAAGTACAGACAAGTCATACTCGAGCGCCATTACCTGCCCCAAAATATAGTGCCAGCAGAGTAAAAGTAGCTGCTGTAAATATTACTCAAAGTATGGGTTCAAAGTAGCCCTTTTATAAATGCTTGAGTAGTGAATATTAAGCTATGAAAGGTAAAAGCATTTCCATGCAGTTTGTCCATGTGTGAAAACGAAACATTCTGCAGTGCATTGAGTGACTGTTTGAGGCCATTTGGGGATTTCAGTCTTCATACACTCTCAGAAATAAAGGTACACGGTGGTACAAATAATGAATGCTCCTTAAGGAACAGCTTTGTACCTTTGTAAAACTGTACCTTATATGGCACAGAAAGGACCTCTTATTATACTGTTCTGCAGCTTTTGATATGTAATGTAATGTGTATTTATATAGTGCATTTATTGTGTATGGCCGTACACCCAAAGCGCTTCACAATCATGAGGGGGGTCTCTCCACACTACCACCAGTGTGCAGCATCCACTTGGATGATGCGACGGCAGCCACAGGACAACGGCGCCAGTGCTTCACCACACACATTGGGGGAGTGGAGAGACAGTGATGGAGCCAATTCGGTTGAAGGGGATGATGGGGAGGCCATGATCGTAAGGGCCGATAGAGGGACTTTGGCCAGTACACCGGGGTTACACCCCTGCTCTTTCACGAGAAGTGCCATGGGATTTTAATGACCACAGAGAGTCAGGACCCCGGTTTAACATCTCATCCGAAAGACGGCGCCCACTGACAGTGTAGTGTCCCCTTCACTATACTGGGGCATTAGGACTCACACAGACCACAGGTTGAGCGCCCCCTGCTGGCCTCACTAACACCACTTCCAACAGCAGCCTAGAGTTCCCTAGTGGTCTCCCATCCAGGTACTGACCAGGCTCAGCCCTGCTCAGCTTCAGTGAGTGACCGGTCTTAAGCTGCAGGGTGGCCATATGAAGATACACAATTGTTCCCATATAAAAGGTACAAAAGTTGTATAAAAGAACAACTCCTTCTTTATAACAATACCTGTGAGAATAAATATGATGAATATAAAGTGATTTATGAATAATTTCCATATTAAAACAAGAATCATCTTTTAAAGGTATACAGTTAAAGTCAGAATTATTAGCCCCCTTCAAATTTGTATTTATTTTTTTTATTTTCCAAACGCTGTTTAACAGAGGAAGGACATTTTCATGTCTGATAATATTGTTTCTTCTGGAGAAAGTCTTATTTGTTTTATTTGGGCTAGAATAAAAGCAGTTTTTCATTTTTTAAACACCATTTTAAGGTCAATATTATTAGCCCCTTTAAGCTATATTTTTTTCGATAGTCTCCAGAACAAACCATCATTATACAATAACTTGCCTAATTACCCTAACCTGCCTAGTTACACTAATTACTGTCATCATGACAAAGAGAAAATAAATCAGTTATTAGAGATGAGTTATTAACACTGTTATGATTAGAAATGTGTTGGAGAAATCTGCTCTCCGTTAAACAGAAATTGGGGGGGAAAATAAACAAGCGGTCTAATAATTCAGGGGGGATAATATTTCTGACTTCAATTGTATGTTTAAAGAAACACAATTTTTAAGTTCTATAGTACAAAACGACTGGCAAAACAAAACTATAGGTATTATAATCTCAAGATTTAAGGCATTTTGAATAAATGTTTGGTGAGTATTTTTGACACTGTTAAGGTACAGAGTCACTGTACTGCCTTCATGGATCAGATTTGTACTCTTGATGAAGGTTCTGTGATCTGCAGGTTTTAAAAACCAAAGGTACATTTTGTTTTCTCATGCTACAAATGATGTCCTTAAATGTACAAGCTGCAATGGTACACATTTGTTTTTGTTGTCTTAAGGTACAATTCTGTTCCATGCTTCATTTTTACACTCCTGTGAGATCTCTTAGGTCGAGTGAGCAGAATTTTCTTTCATCTACAGTCTAGGCTGACACGTAGAGGGGACAGAGCTTTCTCTGTGCAACACCTTAACCCCTGAGATCAGAATGGCTCCATCATTATCTATTCTTAAATCACTTCGGTAACACTTTATAATAACTACACACTATAAATCATTTATTAAGCATTACCAAATAGTGAATTCATTATCTGTTAAGCATTAACTCTACATTAATAAGTGTTAGTAAGCAGTTTATAACTGCAGCTACAAATGCTCTATTCTTGACTTATAAGCACCTATATAATGTGCTTAATGATTGTATGTTCATACTCTGTTAATGATTTATTTTTCATTACTAAATTAAGTATCACATTATTTACAAACCGTTTGTATTTAAGAGTAGTTGAGGGTTTTTAGGATCATTCAGAATGAGTTAGTAAATGATTAATAAACTATTGTAATCAAAGTTTATATGTCTTATTATTCAGGCATATGGTAACTAATATGTTAATAAATGCTTTATTAACTCAACATTATGCAGTTTTGTGACCTAATCTAAAGTGAGGACTATTCATGTTTTATAAATCCCTTATAAATGACAAATAAAAGCTCAGTTGAATTCTAAACAGGAAGAATGATATGATTCACTCCTATTCATTTAAAGACACAAATGAAACTGTACTTTAAATGAAAAATAAATCTTTGCAAGCTGATCTAAAATAAAATCACTGTAGAGTTTAAACATTGCATCTTATTTTATTGTTTAATTATTATATTGTTGTTGTTTTATCCAGTTGGATGTCATATTTTGACACTCCTGTTATTCAGCAATGTTTAAACTTTACAGTAATTTGACTTTTTAGAAAGATTATCGTTAATTTGATTCTGAGCCTTTATTTGTCATTTATAAGGGATTTATTAAGCATGAATAGTCCTCACTTTAGATTAGGTCACAAAACTGCATGAAGTTGAGTTAATAAAGCATTTATTAACATATTAGTTAACTATTAGTATAAGCCTGAATAATAAGACATACATGTTGATTTCAATAGTTTATTAATCATTTAAAACCCTCAACTACTCTTAAATACAAACAGTTTGTAAATAATTCGATACTTAATTTAGTAATGAAAAATAAATCATAAACTAAGTATGAAAATACAATCATTAAGCACATTATATAGGTGCTTATAAGTCAAGAATAGAGCATTTGTAGCTGCAGTTATAAACTGCTTACTAACACTTATTAATGTAGAGTTAACCCTTAACAGATAATGAGTTCACTATTTGCTAATGCTTAATAAATGATTTATAGTGTGTAGTTATTATAAAGTGTTACCATCACTTCTTAAATAATACCTTTTTAGCTTGGCTTTTTAAGATTATGGTAATAGTCCTTTCTACTGCTACAAATTTACAGCCGTTTCTCTTGCCTTATTTCTATGTTTATATTCTGTCCTTTTGTTTTTACCTCGGCTTACGTACAGCACTTTGCTCAGTCTTGTGACTGCTTTTAAATGTGCTCTATATTTTAATGTACTTGAACTTGAAAAGCTACTGCCCCAGTGACAGGGTTTTGTACTTTCTTTGGTACAACATTGTACCAATTTTTCTGAGAGTGTACAGTAAACATGCGTCATCCCATCAGTGGCATGCAGTTGTAACAGTCCCTAATTCAATGCATGTTAAGAACTTCTTCTTGAACGCTTTTGATGCTTCTTTTAAAGGTTTACTGCATTTATAACGCTCCCATGACTTGAGGTTGTTCAGTATGACATGCATTAGTTTCTATGTGTGATTTGACTGGATGGGAATCACAGGACTGATGTTTCTCAGCCAATCCCCATAGACAAGAACTAATAGTGACTGCAGGCGAAAGGTAGTGGAGTGAAAGCACCGATACAATGCTAAAATGCACTCAGGGGACAGTAAAAATAAACATTTGTGAAACTACAAACTACTGCAGTTCCTGATAAAAGCTAATTAATTCCAGTCAATTGAGTATTTGTAATGTTACTTTACACCAGAAGCCAAATGCTGGATTAGTTTGTGAATTACTGGCAGTGATGTGGCTCCACACTCTACATGTTGAGAAATGCAGACGTACGTCAGTGTTCTGGTAGGCTGTAACCGCAATGAACTGGTTCTCCGGGAAGCTGAAGATCTGAGTGTTTGAGTCTCGCTCGCTTCGGTCGTCCGACACCTCCACGATGTGGAGCCGCGGCTGGTACTTATGCAGAGACTGGAGGACGATCATCTGAACACACACAGCAGCAGATGATCATTATTCAGGTGAGCAAAACATATTTATACATTTATTATGAACTGCGCAAATGAAAAGCAATATTTACACTGCAGAACATTACATGTGATCCTGGAGCACAGAATGTTGCTGTCTTATGCTGTAGTGGTATATTAATATAATTATCAAATATACAGTTGAAGTCAGAATTATTCACCCCCTTTTGATTTTTTTTTCTTGTTTAAATATTTCCCAAATGATGTTGAACAAATTGAGGAAATGTTCACAGTATGTCTGATAATGTTTGTTCTTCTGGAGAAAGTCTTATTTGTTTTATTTCGGCTAGAATAAAAGCAGTTTTAATTGTTTAAACACTATTTTAAGGTCAATATTATTAGCCCCTTTAAACTAATATTTTTTCTCGATAGTCAACAGAACAAACCATCATTATACAATAACTTGCCTAATTACCATAACCTGCCTAATTATCCTAATTACCCTAGTGAAGCCTTTACATGTCACTTTAAGCTGTATAGAAGTGTCTTGAAGAATATCTAGTCTAATATTATTTACTGTCATCATGACAAAGAGAAAATAAATCAGTTATTAGAGATGAGTTATTAACACTATTATGATTAGAAATGTGTTAAAGAAATCTGCTCTCCGTTACACAGAAATTGGGGGAAAAATAAACAGGGGGCTAATAATTCTGACTTCAACTGTATGTTGTACACTCTAAATGGGATTTTCCACAGACAGAAATATAGCAATATGTGACACTTTAAAATTTAAAATGGCTAATTTAATGTGTATAATATATATATATATATATATATATATATATATATATATATATATATATATATATATATATATATATAAATACAGTTGAAGTCAGAATTATTACCCCCCCCCTGTATTATTAGCGCCCCTGTTTATTTTTTCCCCCAAATTCTGTTTATTGGAGGGAAGATTGTTTCAGCACATTTCTAATCATAATAGTGTTAATAACTCATCTCTAATAACTGATTTATTTTATCTTTGTCATGATGACAGTAAATAATATTTTACTTGACACTTCTATACAGCTTAAAGTGACATGTAAAGGCTTCACTAGGTTAATTAGGGTAATTAGGCAGGTTAGGGTAATTAGGCAAGTTATTGTATAATGATGGTTTGATCTGGAGACTATCGAGAAAAAAAATTAGCTTAAAGGGTCTAATAATTTTGTCCCAAAAATGTTTTTAAAAAATTAATAACTGCTTTTATTCTAGCTGAAATAAAACAAATAAAACTTTCTCCAGAAGAAGAAATATTATCAGACACACTGTAAAAATGTCATTGCTCTATTAAACATAATTTGGGAAATATTTAAAAAAAAGAAAGTAAAAATCAAAAGGGGGCAATTAATTCTGACTTCAACTGTGTGTGTGTATATGTATGTATGTGTATGTATATATATATATATATATATATATATATATATATATATATATATATATATATATATATATACATACATACATACATACTACCAGTCAAGTTTAGGTTCAGTGTGATTTTAAAGGTTTTTAAATAAGCTTCTCCTGCTCACCAAGGCTGCATTTATTTATTTCATCAGTAATACAGTACACATTGTAAACTTGTGAAATGTTATTGCATTATAAAATACTGTGCAAAAGTATTTATAGTTTAATTTAACAATTTAATCCAGTGAATGAAATTCAGCTTCATTATTGCAGTCTTTAGTCACATTTCTTCAGAAATCACTCTAAAATTCATTGTTGTTATTATTATTTTTATTATTATTATTAATAAGAAAACATATAATCAATATTATTATCAATAAGAAAACAGTTTTTTGTTTAAAAATATTTACCAAGTTATTTTTAAATTTAATAAATGTCGCCTTGATGAACAGAATAATTTTCTTAAAAAAAAAAAAACATGAAAAAATAAAACTGACACCAAACTTTTAACCGGTATTGTGTATTTTTGTTTGTATAGCCTAGGCAATCACCTCATGTACTGATTATGTGCTTTATTCAGTGTTGAATGCTCCCAGCCTGAGATTAAATACCATTTTATGTGACATTTATCACCGCTCCACCTACATCAGTCACTCAGACTAGCTACTAGTAATATGTATGAATTGTATTATTTTGACCATTCCGTAGACAGTGTGCATGGTGGCTTATGTTTAAATGAATGGCTGGTGTTTAAATGTTTCTGCCGTGTGGCGTGCTTTTATACACGGTGTAGCCTAATATGAGCGCACTCATTACCTGAGAAGTGTTGATGTTCGCGCCCTTGTTATTGGTCAGTTTGAGTTTGCCGAAAGATATCTCCTGCCTCATCCAGTGCGCGCCCGTGTTTGGGGATTCCGGGTGCATGTAAATCTTATTTCCTGTAAACGCAGAGCAGAGCACAGTGACGTCACTGAATATGGCATCATCATCACCATCATATTAATAATAATATCAATGGCCTATTTATACCCTGCATGTTGTTGTCGGCTTTCCCGCAGGTCACCCATTTCCCGCCCTGAAACCTCCAGTGGTTCGGGTCTGCCAGAACAATCTCCACGAACACATTATAGTGTGCAGACAGACTCAAACCCGTCATGTTGAAGCTGAGGAACGGGAACATGCGCCTAAACACAACAACAACACCATCATAGGAGAGATTTAAACATTATTGCTTATTATTGCGTTGCTTGAGCCTATAAGAGGTGCGTTTTCAAGGTGCACTCTCAGAAATACAGGTACAGAATATCTGTACTTTTCAAAGGGGACATTTTGGCTACTGACAGGCAATATTAATAGCCTATCTAAAAAGTAAATACATTACAGTACATTAAAGGTACAAATGTTACCATTAAAGGTACTTATTTCCATCTGAACAGGACAAAAAAATTACCTTTTATAAAGGTGCCACCCCGGTGGCAGATTTTGTACATTTGTTTCTGAGTAAATCTTAATTTAAAAAAATATATTTTCTAATATTATTTTATATAGGCTTGCCTATACCATCTAAAATGTTATTAGAATTACATAAAAACACATCTAAACTACAATTAATGCGAGATATTAATAATAATTTATGCAAACAAATTGCATAACACAATTGTTTGGTAACTTTTTTCTGCTTTCGCATTTTATTTCATTAAAAGCACAGCTGACCGATAAATGAAAAATCCTCATCGTTTACTGACACTCAAGTGTTTGTAAACTTCTAGGAGGATCTTTCATCTGTTAAAGACAAAACAAGATATTCTGAAGAATGCTGGAAAAATTAACATCCCTAAAGGAGCAAAATACATACGGACGTCAATGCCTGTTTTAAATCCAACATTCTTCAGAATATCTTCCTTTGTGTTCGACAGAATAAAGAATAATTGAGAAAATAAATGGCAATCTTAAATTTCATTTAATCCGATGCTTTACTAGCAATATTTTAATTCCGCTCAACTGCGATTGAGGCTATTGAACCAATTGGAATAAAAGACTGATTTATTTCATTAGCCAAGCTCAAGCACACGATTGTGGCTAATTAATTCTGAGAAATGTTTTATAATAATTATGCACTATTAAACATATATATAAAAAATTGTATTAACTCAAAATTATATTAACACAACATTGGATCAAATATGGACAAATCCAACAATTGGGTCAAAATTAAATATTTGGATTTATTTTAGATTTAGAAAAAAATAACCCAGTGCTAGATTTGTACACGTTTGACCAAACATTGGGTTCAAACAAACCAGACATTTTTAAAGTGTATGCTATGTATTTTTTGCATTGCACATTTTTGCATTACACATACACTCTAAAATGATGTTGTTTTAACCCAACGCTGGGTAAAATGTGGACAGACCCAACAGTTTGATTTAAAAAAAAACTCTAAATTTGTATATATTTATATTTTATATTTAGATTTAGATGTAGATTTGTATATTCTAAATTTGCATATATTTGACCCAGCGTTCAATTAAAACAACAGCGTTTTTAGTGGATAAGTAATGCAAAAAAAGTATACCATGTTAAAAATACTATTTACAATAAATAAAAAGGGTAAAAGGAGCACTTCACATCACCAAAATACATATCCCATATGTCTATGTATTTGTATACATGGATTTAAAAAAAAATCTGGGTTGTTTTAACACAATATTGGGTTGAATATGGTCCAACCAAATGGTTGAGTTTGCCTAATTTTTAGTTGCATTTAAATTACGGTTGGGTTGGTGCACGGTTTGACCAAGTCAAATGTCAAACTTGCCTGTTGGGTTAAAATAATATATTTTAAATTTGATTAAAAAAAATTAAACAAGTTCAAATTTTTAGTGTATATATCGCCTAGTTGTATTTATCAATGTTTAACCATGTTTCCAATGCACCTGTCGTCTAAAAACACAGGTAACCGCCGTGTCTTCTCACCTGCCCTGCTTGGTGATGATCATCTCGGTTTGGTGCCGGTGGAACTTGAGCCACAGCGGCCGGTTGCAGAGATACACCTGCGCCCGCAGAGCCGCACTGGGCAGCGCTACGGCGCCGGAGCCAGAGCCCTGGTATGGGCTGTAGCCGTTCCCCGCAGCGTGACCGAACTGATGATAGCCCGGGCTGAAGTCTCCGCGGCCGGCGCACAGAGACTGGCAGAAGCCGGCGGAGGGAAGCACGGAGCCGTAGTGGAGCGAAGCCGAGTACCGGGACCCATCCGACCCGGCGTACACGGCTCCGGTCTGCCCGCTGTACGGGAAGAGGGAGCACGGGCTGGGGGAGTCCTGCGTCTGCATGAAGTAGCGGCTGGAGCTCAGCCCGTCCAGGAGATACCGGCTGGACAGATCATCACCACAAACTACCGGAGAAACTTTCTCCTCCTCCGCCTCCGGGTGAGAAGAGAGCGCGGAGCCAGAACTGGATCCTTCTCCGGGCATGCTGATCACGGACACCGAGCCCGACGCCTGATACTCGGTCTCGGTCAGTGTGCAAAGCGCCTCGGCATCACTGACTAACACACAACCATGTCAAAAACACATCAGATTTTTATTTAATTCCACACATGTCAAAAACACATTGAATTATTTAATTCTGCATTTCTTCTTTGTGCGCGTTTATCCGGGTGCAACCCCTGAACTGCGCTATAGAAACAAATCAGATCATTTATTGATTGATTATACGATAACCTGAGATATGATCTTCAAGCTTTCATTACAACACGTGCTACTCTTTGTGTGAAGTGTGAAGATTCAGTTTCAGTCATGAAGAACAAAGTCATTTAGCTTTTGTTGATGTAAAAGAAAATAAGGTAATTGTCTGTACCGAATATCTAAAAAAAGGAATACAAGTGTTTAACTGGAAGATGTTTTCGCATACATATTACCTATTAACTAAATCTAAATACGCTTTTCGTTTTGGAAATATAACCTGATTTTATTTTCATGTTCTTTCCAACTCTTTATTTTGATCTTGCATATGCATTTATAACATTTAATTAGCCTACATTTATAAATGAACGGTTTTACATTTTAATGAAATATGCGGTGTTTATATTTATATTAGACAATTCTTTATTTTATTTGTCCGCTGTTTTATTTAATATAAAGAACAAATACTAAATATATAATCAAATAATTGTATTTGAAATAAATATTTCTCCATAGCGCATTTTAAAATCTAAAATAATTTCTCTTTGTTAATTTAACATCTATCAATTGTTATTTAATCAGCGCGACGTGAACCTAATGTTTAGTGTTTTGGCATCAGCTCTACTAGACTACTTTTAAATTATTTTAGCAATTTATAAAACACCAATCACTTATTCATCTTCAGAGGTGAACTCTTCCCTTTAAACTTTTTAATATCTATAAATTATAGGCATTAAAAAGTTCTTTCAAATAATAATTTGTAGATGCATAGGCTACACTAATTTAGCAATATACGGACAACAGAAGTTCATTTAATCCACATTCACTGAGACAAATCCAACCGAAATGTTTAAACCAATTTGATATTTCTTCAATATTTGTATTAATTTCTTTTCTAAAAATTAAATGAGTGACAGTAAAAGTGCGATCCTTTCTTTAAATGTTCAGATGCTTTTCTAAAAAATCAAGAACAGATTAAATAATAAACAGCAGCTATAAATCTGCGCACACACCACTTTACTGAATATATTTACTGTACCGTGTTTTTTTTTTAATTAAACTAAACGTAAAACATACACTGAAGCTCACTGCAGAAACAATCTAGTATCTCACGAGTTTACTTCATGCACATTAAAGAGATGATTACAGGGTAAAACACGGCGTTTTTATTTGTGTATAGACGAGAAGTAAAATGAATCGCGAGTCATTAAATGAATGAACTCACCGGAATCTTCTTCATGTCCTCCACAGACTGAGAAGGGAAAGCTCTTTTGTTCACACTGAGAAGATGAAAAAGCAGAGGAGGATGGAGGAGCATCAGGGTCACTGAATGGGGGTGAGGCTTACTGACTCACTGAATCTCATTGAATCATTGACTCGCTGACCGCTGACTGAACGACTCACTGACTCTCTGACTGACTGAGGCACCTGTGCTGCTGCTGCTGCATTTATTGATTCGCTCCACAGCGCCTCCTACTGACGCTTACAGCCGCTCATTCTCATTTGTCAGCGCGTTACAATCAAATGTGCACAAAACAATGCGGGTTTATTTGTGGAGCTAGACAAAATGCATGTGAGTCAAAATTAAAAACAAATTAAAGCCCAAAATTAATACACTTAGCAGAATGGCAGGTTGTTTTAACACATGTTGGATTAAATTTCATCAAGCCATATTTTTCCTACATAAATGTATTCATTTTAACAATTCATTTAGTTTAAAAACAAATGTTGGGTTCGTTGAACATTTGACCCAGCATTGGGTTAATACAACCCGGCGTAGAAAAAATAATGTGCTGTAATGTCATTTAATAATGGCCTTTTAAACACAATGGTCATATTTGAGCCAGCATTGGGTTAATATAACCAGGTATAGATCATCTTCTGTGAAAACAGTTTGTAAATTTCCTTTTAAATCAAATCTTTTGGATTAGTTATGCATGCATTACTTAATTCAGACTTTAAAGATGAGGTATTTGGTTTCTCAATATTTGGATTTATTTTGTTTGCACTCTAAAAATGTTGTTATTTTACCTATTGAGTTATGACACCTAGTTTTGGGTTATGAATACCCAGCATTTTTAAACATGTGAATCCTCAGATTCTTTATTTTCAATAGTTGTGTCTCAGCCAAATATGATCATATAAAGCATTAAAAAGATTAGTTATTCAGCATAAATCTCAATTTCAAAACTGCACTGACACAGTTTCAATCTCAATTTACTGCAACTTCCATGTTCAGCTGCTCTGACACAATCTACATTGTAAAAGCGCTAGAGAAATGAACACGACTAGTACTGAAAATAAAAAAAGACCCTCAGTGACTTGAGCTCCATGGAGGGTCATACAGACCATTTCAATGTGCTGATGTCAGAGGCCCATGAACATTTCCTTGTAGTCAAACCATTTCATAACAGTGACGAGAGTCAATTCAAGCATAACGTAAAGTTAAACAGCTGCCATAACATTATTTCCCAATATGAAGACCTTTTGGGTTTCTTAGAAGCTATGAAAGTTTAAAATGTAACACAGACAATAGTTTAAGACCATTGTTATTGTTTACGTGCCTTAAAATGGTTTATATGCACTCTAGAAATACTGTTTTTTTACCCAATACTGGGTCAAATATAAACAAACACAACATTAAAACCTCCCAGAATTTTTTTTTAATGTGCCTCCTGATTTTATTCTGCAAATAAAACATCCTTTATTCTAAAATGTATGTCTAGATATATTATACTCTGTGAAGAGAATACAGTATTACATTATATTATATTATATTATATTATATTATATTATATTATATTATATTATATTATATTATATTATATAGGCAAAAAGTTGCTGTGGCAAGTAATAAAAAGTAAATTCTTTTTTTTGAGTTGAACATGTCTATATGTGTATATATACAGGTGAAGACAGAATTATTAGTCCCCTGTTTAATTTTTCCCCCATTTTCTGTTTAACGGTGAGCAGATTATCTTCAACACATTTCTAATCATAATAGTTAATAACTCATCTCTAATAACTGATTTATTTCCTCTTTGTCATAATGACAGTAAATAATATTAGACTAGATATTCTTCAAGACACTTCTATAAAGCTTAAAGTGACATTTAAAGGCTTCACTAGGGTAATTATAGGCAGGTTTGTTCTGGAGACAATCGAAAAAAATATAGCTTAAAGGGGCTAATAATATTCACCTTAAAATGGTTTTAAAATAATTAAAAACTGCTTGTAAACTAGCCGAAATCAAACAAATAAGACTTTCTCCAGAAGAACAAATATTATCAGACATACTGTGAACATTTCCTGAATCTGTTCAACATCATCTGGGAAATTTAAAAAAAAGAAAAAAAAAATTTTTTTAGGGGGCGAATAATTCTGACTTCAACTGTATGTATGTGTGTATGTATGTATGTATGTATATATATATATATATATATATATATATATATATATATATATATATATATATATATATATATATATATATATATATTTTTTTTTTTTTTTTTTTGTTTTTTTTTTTTTGTAAAGTTTATATTGACTAATCTCTCTGTCATGACAAAAATGGTTGATGTATATATTTATTAATCATCAGTACTATTAAGCTTTTACCGTCTGAATTCATTAGTTTCTAAATTCTACTACATTTGTGTTATTGTCTGTAGCAGTAAGAAGTTTATCATCTGTGCTATATCTCTGCACTTCGTGTATAATTTGTTTTAATTCGGAATCCTTATATATAAGACGCATGTAAAATAGGTTTCCTCCGGGTGCTCCGGTTTCCCCCACAGTCCAAACACATTTGCTATAGGGGGATTGATGAACTAAATTGACCGTAGTATGAATGTGTGTGTATGGGTGTTTTCCAGTACTAAGTTACAGCTGGAACAGCCTCAGCTGCGCTAAACATACGCTGGAATAGTTGGCCGTTCATTTCGCTGTTGCGACCCCTTATAAATAAAGAGACTAAGCTGAAGTGAAATGAATGAAATGTAAATTATTTTTAATGTATTTCCTTAGTGATCTTTAACAAAACATAACAATATTTTCACAGTATTTCCTGTTATATTTGTCTTTTTGTTGGTCTGGATTTAAAAAAAAACAGGATATAGTAAAAACTGCTGTGGTTAATATTATTAACCTCCTTTAGAAATATAAACTTTTGATTGTCTACTGAATAAATCATCATTATAAGGCAAAATAAGGCTTTCACCTCAAAATATACCCCGGTTAAGTCTAACAATAGGTGTTAAAGGAAGGCTGTTTAATGTATTTGATTGTGAAAACGCAGCACAGATAGTGACAGTGTGCCCAGAGCCGTACTGTCACGGTACATCATCTCGCCAGAGGAAAAACACACGTGAACACAAAATACTGCAGTTATTTTGAACCAGATTAATGTAAAGGACTTGAATTGATCTGTTGTGGTGATTCTACAGTTGCTATAGTAACACAATTATATTATTTGATCTGTTGTGGTGATTCTACAGTTGCTTTGGTAACAACAACTATAGTAGTTAATCTGTTGTGGTGATTCTACAGTTACTATGGTAACAACTATAGTAATTGATCTGTTGTGGTGATTCTACAGTTGCTATGGTAACAACAACTATAGTAATTGATCTGTTGTGGTGATTCTACAGTTACTATGGTAACAACTATAGTAATTGATCTGTTGTGGTGATTCTACAGTTACTATGGTAACAACTATAGTAATTGATCTGTTGTGGTGATTCTACAGTTACTATGGTAACAACTATAGTAATTGATCTGTTGTGGTGATTCTACAGTTGCTATGGTAACACAATTATATTAATTGATATGTTGTGGTCATTCTACAGTTTCTATGGTAACACAGCTACATTAATATAAACAAATGAGGCAATACTGTAGTTTTCTACAACTCTAGGGTATATTATAGTGCAATACAGCACTGTTTACTATAGTAAAAACTAAAGTATAGTACAGTATTCATTATTGTTTGTCAATTCTTATGCTGGAGCAATTAACAGAGAGCTGTAGATACTATAATATATACAGTATGATGCACTTTATTATAAAAACACAACAGTATAAACTATGAATTACTATAGTATTTGTTCATATCAACATAAACAGTTAAAGCACTCTTGCATTAAACACATGAGAGCTGCACAGAACTGAACTATACACTTTCACTACAGAAATGATCATTACTGCATCTGCAGTTTCCTTTCTTATTTCACAATGTGTTTTACACCTAGTTACTGATTTAGTTCTGGTTTGGCGCGGTTGACAGCCACACTGGAGTGTGACGCTCTAGTTCATATTCAAAAACCTGTAATGCTTAAACAAGCTTATACTACGGGTCTGCTGAATGCTTGATTCTGACTGGCTGATGGTCACTCTCAGGTGTTTGGTTATTGCCAGATAAAGGCACAGCTAAAGTAGTTCCGGCAGGTTTAGAGCGCATTACAGCTCCATATCACTACACTAACATTATACTACAGGTCTACTGAATGCTTGCTTCTGATTGGCTGATGAGGACTCTAAAGTGTTTGGTTATTGTCAGATAAAGGCACAGCTAAAGTAGTTCCGGCAGGTTTAGAGCGCATTACTGCTTCATATCACTACACTAACATTATACTACAGGTCTACTGAATGCTTGATTCTGATTGGCTGATGAGCACTCTAAAGTGTTTGGTTATTGTCAGATAAAGGCACAGCTAAAGTAGTCCCGGCAGGTTTAGAGCGCATTACTGCTTCATATCACTACACTAACATTATACTACAGGTCTACTGAATGCTTGATTCTGATTGGCTGCTGGTCACTCTCAGATGTTTGGTTATTGTCAGATAAAGGCACAGCTAAAGTAGTCCCGGCAGGTTTAGAGCGAATTACTGCTTCATATCACTACACTAACATTATACTACAGGTCTACTGAATGCTTGATTCTGATTGGCTGATGAGCACTCTAAAGTGTTTGGTTATTGTCAGATAAAGGCACAGCTAAAGTAGTCCCGGCAGGTTTAGAGCGCATTACTGCTTCATATCACTACACTAACATTATACTACAGGTCTACTGAATGCTTGATTCTGATTGGCTGCTGGTCACTCTCAGATGTTTGGTTATTGTCAGATAAAGGCACAGCTAAAGTAGTCCCGGCAGGTTTAGAGCGCATTACTGCTTCATATCACTACACTTACATTATACTACAGGTCTGCTGAATGCTTGATTCTGATGGGCTGATGTTCACTATAAGGTGTTTGGTTATTGCCAGATAAAGGCACAGCTAAAGTAGTTCCGGCAGGTTTAGAGCGCATTACAGCTCCATATCACTACACTAACATTATACTACAGGTCTACTGAATGCTTGCTTCTGATTGGCTGATGAGGACTCTAAAGTGTTTGGTTATTGTCAGATAAAGGCACAG